GCACGCAACATGACTCTAAATAATAATGATCAGGCCACCAACACACATTCAAGACTAAAAGGAAGCCGCCTGTTTGGAAAATGGAAGACAGTTAGGAAAATACAGGTATTTGTGTTCAAAAGTCAGAGTCAAAGTAAAAAGCCGAGATTAAATAAGTAGTGGAGTACTTGGACTGATACCAGAAACTGCACTTAGAGTATAGTTAAATGAAGTTTTGTTACTCCCAATTACCTACCCACCTCTGATTATAAGCCCAGCTGTTGATAAACCTCCTTCCAGGTCTACATGCCCCTCCTTCACCTCTTTCCGTCCTTGCCGGTCGATCCCCTTCAGGATTCCAGCCTCGGATGATGATCACCTCAGCTTTTCCCGGCTCGAGCCTTTTGGAGGAACGCAGTTGGGGGCCAGGTTAGGAGTGCCCTCCCCCCACAGTTGGGTTTACTAGTGGGAAGAACTTCTCACGCATTTCCTCTAAATACTTGCTCTATGGCCCGGACCTTCATCCCCGCCCTCTGGGTCTCCAGGCGCATCAGCTCCGTTACAATCGGCACTCAAGGGAGTCGAGACCACGTCCGGTGCTCCTTGAGGGACTTCAGCCAGTTCACGTAGCCCTTAGAGTCGGTTACGGGAGAAAGAGAGACTCCCCAACCAACCCGCGAGCCTCCCATTCACCTCGTGTAGTTGTTGGTGAGAGGCCGGAGCTGAATGATGTGGAGACGTCCTTGTTCTCCAGCACTTGCTGCACGATTTATGCTGGCTGATAAACTTGACCTTCCCCAGACCCACAGAACTCCTACTGAGAGGCGAGGAGGGACCTGAAGGACAGGAGGGGCACAAAGAATGGGAATTTATAAGTGGGCGAAAGGGATTTAGCTAAGCACATGTTACTTACTTCTTGTAGTTGAAGATAATCTTACACTACTCTTACTTGAATATTTCAATTTTTCTCTGCCCCACCAAAGTTTATTTTGACAAACTCAAATGGCTAGCTACTTTGTCTTTGATTATACATACATTACAACTAAAAGAGTAATAATGGATTATTATAAATTAAACTTTACTTACACCACATATTGGATATATGTCGTTGATATAATTACAATCACCTCCACCACTTTTACCAAACTGCACCATTAAGTATAATATATATAATCCATCAATGGTTATAAATTCACTAATATGAAAGTACTGATAATGATGTACTTTATGTACTTCAAGTATATTTTTGATGCTATTTCATTTTGTACTTTCACCTACAGCTATGATATATGTTTTTTGCCACAAATGTGTCAAAACACATGCAAATGGAAGAAACATCTCCATTGTTTGCACCCTGTCGCCACCGTGCAATGCCTCACACTAACACA